GGCGTAATGGCTATGTCGCTGGACTCTCATGTAGTTGACCACGGTTTGAGTCCCGGACCTGGTGGCTTAAACTCACGCCGGGTGTGTGTGCGTATAGCCCAAGATCCTGAGAGGAGAATGGAGGAGAAGGGATTGTGGCATGGCCATCTCCCCTGGAGGGTGGTTTCTTGCTTTCTGTCTCTCTGTCTCTCTGGTGAGTGCATGTGCTCTATTACAAAAATCTCTTCAAAAAAAAGAAAAAAAAAAAAAAAAAAAAGAAAGAATTATTTATTTAATTTTATTTATTCATTCATTTTATTTATTTGTTTATTTTAATTTGATCAGAAAGACACAGAGAGAGAGTGAAAGAGGGAAAGTGAGAAAGCAAGCCACCAGGTCTGAGACTTGAACCGTGGTTGGCCATGTGGGAATCCAGCACCCTTATCCACCACGCCACTTGCCGGTCCCCTTAATCACCTCTTTCAAGGCACTATCTCCAAATAGTCACATTCTAAAGTACTAGGGGCTAGGGTTTCAATGTAGGAATCATGGGGAGGGGGTATAATTCAGCCTGAAACATACACATCACATAAAATTAGCCATCTTACCCATGTTTAGGTGTACAGTTCAGTGGTTTTCTGCTTTTTGTTTTTGGTAGCGTTGTTTGTTTTTATCTTTAGAGAGCACACAAACTGGCCAGATGGAAAGAGAGTGAGAGAGACAGGGCACCCCCGGCCCCCCCCCCCCCCAAATAGAGTGTGTTCACACAGGAATCTCTTCTCCTGTTTCTCTGTCCTGACTTTTTGGACACATACACTCACTTGGCATGTTTTTCAAGCCACCAGGGCCAGGATTCGAACCACTCAGTTCCAGGTCCCTTAACCACTAGCTAATAGGACCAGCCTGGCTTTCTGCTTTTTGTTTTATTATTATTTTTTATTTATTCGTTATGATTCCAGCAACTTACTTGCTTATTTGCTTTCTGTAACATGAAGATATCCCAGGCAAAACAAGATGTCCCAGGCTCATTCCTGCCGCACATCAGCAATCGATATTCCTATAAATGCCCTGGTTCTTTTCAGTGGGAATGATATTTACAGGCCACAATCCAGACACTAGGAGCGATCATTACTACTGGATCATCATTTTCAATGGAGAGTCCAATGAAAAAAGTATTTTCAAAAAGAAAAAAGTTTAAACTGATATTTTTATTCAAATTTAACCTTACAATCATTTGCTTAGCTTTACTGATGTATACTTGTATCACTTTTCTCTTATACTAAAAATATTAGCTCCTACTGGCAGTAAGACAATTACTTATTTGCTTTATCATATAATGCATGTAAAATAGTTTCAAAGTAATAACACCAGTATTAATTTACACTAAGACTACTGAGCAAAATTTAAGATTTTTTGGCAGCTCAATGTGTCCTTAAAAATATTACACTGGTGCCAGCAGGTAAAGCATGGTGCTTAAGGCACTGGACTCCCACATACAGACCTCAGTCCAAGTCCTGAACCTGGTAACTTGCTTTCTCCCTTTCCCTTTCTCTGTCTCGATCTGGTCAAATTAAAAAATAACAATAAGGAGACTAGCAGTAAGTGTAATGGCTGTGTCGCTGGACTCCCATGTAGTCAACCGCGGTTCGTGTCCCGGACCCAGTAACTTGAACTCACGCCGGGCGCATGTGCATGCGTGCCCGAGATCCCGAGAGGAGAATGGAGAAGGGATTGCGGTGTGGGCATCCCCCCGGGAGGTGATTTCTTGCTTTCTGTCTCTCTGGTGAGCTCATGCGCCCTGTAGCAAAAACCTCTCAAAAAAATAAAAACAAAAACAAAACAATACATAGGGACCAGCAGATAGTGTAATGGCTACGTTGCTGGACTCCCATGTAGTCGACCGCAGTTCGAGTCCTGGACCTGAGAAGTTAAACTCACGCTGGATGCGTGTGAGTGCATGCCCGAGATCCCAAGAGGAGAACGGAGGAGAAGAGATTGCAGCGTGACTGTCCCCCCCGTGGTGATTTCTCGCTTTCTGTCTCTCTGTCTCTGTCTTTCTGGTGAGCGCACACTCCCTATAGCAAAAACCTCTCCAAAAAAGAAAAAGAAAGGAAGAAAGAAAAAAAGAACAATAAATAAAATGAAATGATTTTTAAAAGAAAAAGAAAAAATATTCCACTGAGGACATATAAATACTATGGTCTAAAGCCACTTGTAATCATTTTTTTTCTCTTTGTTATGACACCAACTTGGTATACACTTACACTCATTCATTCCTATTGTGTTCACAACTATGTAGTGGCCACCTTAATGTCTGTGAGATTTTATTTGGTTTTATTTTGGAAAGTCATGAGATTTTATTTAGTCTCCTTTGGGAACACACAAAACATGATTTTATCTAATTGCAAAACTTAAAATATTAAACACAATGTATTGAGAGAAGCTTTATCCCAGTGTCGTCTCTTCTTCCTACTCTTGTGCATAGTTAATCATTTAATTAGTTTTTGTTCTTCCTTCTGGTATTTCTTCTTGCAAAATAAGCACATAGCAAATGTCCACACAATCATTTGCTTCCATGCATATTCACATTTCTTTTTAATTTGATTTTATTCATTCATTCATTTATTTCAATTTAACCACAGATAGAGAGAGAAGGAAAGTGGGAAAGGTAGCCACCAGGCCCAGGACTTGAACAGTAGTTGGCCATGTGGGAGTGTCCAGCACCCCAACCACTATGCCACCTGCTGGTACCATATAGTCACATTTCTTCAACAAAAGGTAACATGTTAAAGCTAATGTTTGAGTAGAATATCATTTTGTATCTTTTTACTCTTGCCTGCCTCTGCTCCCTCTGAGACGCACCCTGCAGTGCGATCACAGGGTGTGACCCGCAGCTGCACAGGCCCTGGCCCAGCTAAGACCCCTGCGGTGATAAAAATATGGAATGCTTCATGAATGGGTGTGTCAGCCTTGCTCAAGGGCCATGCTAACCTTCCCTGTATCGTCCCAATGTTAGCATATGTGCTGCCAAAGCGAGCGCCCTATCCTTTCACTCAGCTTCTCAGTGTCTTTAAAGTATGTTTCTTATACACAGCAAATAGCTGGAACCTGCATTTTTTTTTTTTTTAGATTTTTGCCAAAGGATATGTGTGCTTATCAGAGAGAGACAGAGACAAAGAGAGAGAGAGAATGAGAAATCACCCAAGGGGAATGGCCATGCTGCTATCCCTTCTCCATTCTCCTCTCAAGATTGTGGACGTGCATGCACACATGCCTGGTGCATTTTTCAAGCTGCCGGGTCAGTGACTCAAACCGTGCAGTTGTCCATATGTGATCCAGTGCCATAACCACCTGCTGGCCCGGGAGCTGCCTTTTAAAATGCCATCTACCTTTTAATAATTGAGATATTTACATTCTCTTCATTTCATGTGATTATCAATATTATTTGGTTAAAATTTACCATCTTACAAATTGTCTTTTTGGTTCATGTGTTTCTTCCTTTTTTCTATTTGTCTATCTTTTATTGGATTTAGGATTTATTTTCCTTTTCTTTTTAAAAAATGTTCTCTGTTGTGCACCCACCAGAGAAAGAGAAAAAGCACCCCTTTAATGGAGCATAGTCACACCACAATCCTTTTTCCTTCGTTCCTCCTTCCCATCGAGATTCCACTTTTTTTCTCCTATTGGTTTATTTCCTAGACTTCTTTGTTTACTTTTTTAGTGCTTACTCTAGAGTTAGAAATTATACACTTTTAATTTATCACAGCCTACCTTCATTTACAATAAAACTTTAAATCAATTTCTGCTCACGTGTACATTCTATAAGTGTCATAGGTTTTTTAAATACGTATGTGTGCTATAAATGTCAAATACACTATCTTATTTTCTTTAACAATGATTATATAGTAAATTTTATTTTATTCATTTATTTTAGAGAGATTTTTGGTATAGGGCATGTGCACTCACCAGAGACAGAGGGAGAGAGAAAGTGAGAAATTGCCCCTCAAGGGGATGGCCACATCACAATCCCTTGTCCTCCATTCTCCTCTTGGGATTTTGGTCATGCATGCACACATGCCCAGAGTGAGTTTCAAGTCACTGGGTCTGCAGTGGGACGCAGACTGCAGTCAGCCATGTGTGAGTTCAGTGCCTTAATCACTATGCCATCTGATGGCCCCTATAGTCAGTTTTAAAACGAGGGGAAGCATATGAAAAGATGCTTAACATAATTTGTTGTTAAGGAGTTGTAAATTAAAACAACGAAATAGGGTGGGCTGGCTGCACAGCGGTTGATTGGTGTGTACAGAAAGCCAGATCCCACAGGCCGATCTTGGTTTTAGTCCAGTCCTGGCAGTTTGAAAAATGCCCTCCTCTCAAAAAAGAAAAAAAAAAAATTGAGGACCAGCAGTTAGTATAATGGCTATGTCACTGAACTCCCATGTAGTCGACTGTGGTTCAAGTCCTGGACCAGGTGGCTTAAACTCATGCCAGGCACGTGTGTGTGCATGCCCAAGATCCCAAGAGGAAAATGGAGGAGAAGGGATTGTGGTGTGGCCATCCCCCCAGGGGGTGATTTCTTGCTTTCTGTCTCTTTGTCTCTCTGGCAAGTGCATACACCCTATAGCAAAAAACTCTCAAAAAAAAAAAAAAAGAAAGAAAGAAAGAAAGAAAAGAAAAGAAAAGAAAAGAAAAGGAAAATGAAAATGCCCTGAGCACATGTGCGGGGCAAACGCGTCCAAAATCCTGATGGGAGGGAGGCATGGAGGAAAAAGGATTGTGGCTTTCTATTAGGTGTGCTTGCTTTCTCCCTTTCTCACTCTCTTGCTGGCAAACACATGTGCTCTTGGCAATTAAAAAAAGAGAGAGAGAGAGAGAAAGATGAAAGAAAGAAGAAAAAGAAAGAAAGAAGGAAGAAAGAAAGGAAGGAAGGAAGGAAGAAAAAGAAAGAAATGCCACTAGATTTTCAGTCATTAGAATGGCTGAAATCCAAAAAACTTACAATACCAATTGCTGGTAAGAATGAGGAAAAACAGGAATTCTCTCATTCATAGCTGGTGGGAATATAAAATGGATAAAACTATTTTGGAGGACAGTTTGGCAATTTCTTATAAAGCTATATGTAATATGTATATACATACATATATATGTATACATATATACACACATTATATACATATATACATTTTTTTTTGGAGAGGTTTTTGCTATAGGGTGTGTGCTCTCACCAGAAAGACAGAGAGAGACAGAGAGACAGAAAGCGAGAAATCACCCCTCAGAGGGGATGGCCATGTTGCAATCCCTTCTCCTCCATTCTCCTCTCGGGATCTTGGGCACGCACGCACATGTGCCTGGCGTGAGTTTAAGCCACTGGGTCCAGGACTCGAACTGCAGTTGACTACATGGGAGTCCAGTGACATAGCCATTACGCCAACTGTTCGTCCTGAAGCTATATGTAATGTTACTATATGACCTAGCAATTGCATCCCTGGGTATTGATTTGAACATTTCTGTCCACACAAAACCTGCATGTGACTTTTTTTTTTAAATAGCTGCTTTGTTCATAGTCCTCTAAACTGGAAGTGACCAAGATGTCCTTTGACAGGTGAATGACTGAACAACTGTGATTCATCATACAATGAAACATTATTCAGTGACAAAAATAAATGACCCACTAAGCCACAGAAAGGCATGGAACAAATCTTAAATGAATATTACTAAGCGAAAGAAGCCAGTCTGAAAAGGCTACATACTGTATGATTTCAGTTATATGACATTCTGGCAAAAGCAGAGCTATTGCAACGGTGAAAGGATGAGTAGATGGGCATGGGTGGAAGGGTAAAGAGGTAAAGGACAGGGGATATTTTAGGGCAGCAACATTGTTCTGTGTGGCACTTCAATGGCGAATACAGGATATTATGCATTTACCTTTTGATTTATTTATTAGCTTCGCTTTAGGGCATTTGCACTCACTTGGAGAGAGGCAGAGAGACTGACAGAGAGAAAATGATAAATCACTCCCCTGGGGAGATGGCCACGTCACAATTTCGTTCTCCACAATCTTATTCTCCCCCACGGTCCCATGCTCCCCCACGGTCCCGTGCTCCCCCACGGTCCCAAGCACCTCCATGGTCGTGTGCTCCCCCACAGTCCCGTTCTCCACAATCCTGTTCTCCCCCATTCTCCTCTCAGGATTTCGGGCATGCACGTACATGTGCCTGGCATGCTTTGCAAGCCACCAGTTATGGGTTTCAAACCAGGCAGTTGGACATATGGGATTTACCCACCCCAGCCACCACACCACATCAGGGCCACCTGCTGGCCCTGACACTATGCATTTATCAAAACCCATTCAAGTTTACATCACAGAGAGTGAGCCTTAACGTATGTGTGCATTTGTGCCCAAAATACCGGGAGGAGAATGGAGAAGAAAGGATTGTGGTGGCATGGCCATCACCCCCAGGGGGTGATGTCTCACTTTTTCTGCCCCTCTGGCAAGTGGACACACCCTATAGCAAAAATCTCTAAAAGAAACAAAACCCCTCAGGGGTTATGACAAATGTCCATGTGCCCAGCATGAGGTTTTGTTTTTTTGAGATGTTTTTGGTATAGGGTACATGCGTTGGCCAGAGCGGCAGAGAGAGACAGAGGGACAGAAAGCAGAGAGATAGAAAGCGAGAAATCACCCCCCTAGCGGGTGGCCAGGCCACAATCCCCTCCCCTCCATTTTCTTCTTAGAGATCCTGGGCACACACACAGATACACCTGGCGTCAGTTTAAGCCGCCGGATCCAGGACTCAAACTAAGGTCGACTACATGGGAGTCCAGTGACATAGCCATTATGCCAAATGCTGATCCCGCAGGGTGAGTTTTAAGCTGCAAGGTCTGGACTTGAACTGCAGTAGAGTTGTGGGAGTCTAGTGAAGTGATGTTACCATTACGCCACCTGCTGGTCCCAATAAATAATTCTTTTTTTTTTCTTCAGAGAAGAGTTTATTATAGGGTGAATGCTCTCACTGGAGAGAGACAGAGAGAAAGCGAAAAGTCTCTCCCCCGGGGGGATGGCCATGTTGTAATCTCTTCTCTTCCATTCTTCTCTTGGGATTTTGGTCATGCATGCACACACTCCTAGTCTGAGTTCTGGGGCTCAAACTGGTAAGTCATGTGGGAGTCCAATGACATAACCATTACGCCATCTGCTGATCCTCTCAATAAATAATTCTTTTTTTAAAAAAGCCATAAACTGTTGCATAGGCAGCAAGTGGCACAGTGGTTAAGGCACTGGGTCCCACATGGCCAACTGCATGGGACCTGGCGGTTTGAAAACTTTGCCAGGTATGTGTGTATGCATGCCCAAAATCCAGAGGAGAATGGAAAAGAAGGGCTTGTGGGGTGGTCATACCCTCTAGGAGGTAATTGCTTTTTTTTTTTCCTATTTGTCACTGTCTCTTTCTCTGTCTAGTGAGTACACACACTCTATAGCAAAAACAAAAATGAAAACATAGGGACCAATAGCTGGAGTAATGGCTGTCGCTGGACTCCCATATAGTTGACCGTAGTTCGAGTCCCAGACCCGGTGGCTTAGACTCACACCGGGCGCGTGTGCGTGTGTGCCCAAGTTCTCAAGAGGAGAATGGAGGAGAAGGGATTGCGGCGTGGCCATCCCTCCTGGGGGGGTGGTTTCTCGTTTTCTGTCTTTCTGTCTCTCTCTTTCTGGTGAGTGCACACGCCCAATAGCAAAACCTCTCCAAATATATATATATATATGTATATATATATATGTAAAATAAAATAAAAATAAAAGCAACAACAATAAAAAACATAAACCCAGTATAATCAGAATTTCCTGCAGCTTGCAGTACAATGCCAGGCATGTGTGTGTATGTGTGTGTGCGTGTGTGTGTGTGTGTATGCCCAAATCCAGACAGGGTGGAGAAACAGAGGAGTAGAGATTGTGGTATGTCCACGTCTCTTTGAGGGGTGCTTTCTTGAGGGGTGCTTTCTTCTTCTCTCCCTTTCTCTGTCTCTCTCATGAGCACACAT